ATGTATTATATATTTTGAGTCTTGGTCAGAATTTCAACTACGACACCAATAAAATTCCTACAAATCTATATAATTGCGAATTTGAAAGCTGGTCTGACACCCAAGTTATCTTGCCAAGTACTTCCGTATATTCCTGTCCGTGAGAAACTCAGATTTAAAATTTCTAAACTCAATCAATTCGATGCCACAAAAACCCAGGGATCGGTTTTCTCCAGTAAAACAATTGTCTCCGAACCGAATATAATAATGTCAGGACAGACAATTGTGCTTTCTGCTCCGATAAGTTGGTTGGGGGTTAAAATGGACCAACGGCACTATCATGTTGCTGGTATTGCCAAGGCTGCTTCTCAAAAGCTTGGAAAACTGTTACGAACCAAAAACCTGCATAGACCTCAGCAACTTTTCATGCTTTATAAAGGTCAGATTAGACCTTCTTTGGAGTATTGTTCACATGTATGGAGCTCTGCTTCCAAGCATACTTTGAAGCTGCTGGATTTCATCCAGAAAACAACCATTTACCTGATTGGAGACACGAACATCACTTGCAACCTTGATAGTCTGGAACATCGAAGAAAGGTTGGAGATTTGTCTCTCTTTTACAGATACGGGAGGTGTTCAAGTGACTTGGCACATTTGATTCCACCAAGAGCGGTACATATCAGAAATACGCGATTCAAATCCAACATCAGGTAGTACTTTCGCACAGGCACCGCTCTTAAAGAGCCTAGAGGATTTTCCTGTAGTGTTTGTGTTTTATTTTGAAAAAAATTCCGTAACTATTTAACCGAAAATATTGAGTTTAAGCCACTAATGTCCCAATAAAGAGCGCATCAAATCAAAAACCTTCATCAGATTTTTTTCACGATTATTTGAACTGATCTCATCCGCGATGTTGTCATCTCTCTCGAAAACGGTTGACGTCACGCAAGTTTTGATATTCCATGCAATAAATAACAATATTCCACCTGCTTCATCTCCAAAAACTCCACTCCAAATTACGCCACGAAATAAAACGCCAACGTCCTGATGTATTATTTACGGAATCGATGGCGGCAAAAATTATTTCCCTATGGCACAAAAACACAGGGGGACATCAAATTTAAATCACCATATTTTATGATGATATACACGCACCTCTGGGGCGTCCAGGAGGCGCATGTGCTCACCTGCGATTTTTTCGTCAAGTATGCGGGAGTTACAAATATCCCGATCCGGAGTTGTGCCGGAGTTCCGCAGTTCGGCCGGAGTTCCGCAGTCAGTCGTACGAATTGCTCGGGAAGCGTCCAAGCGGTTAGACCGAAACTTGCGCGCCAACTTCCGCGAAAACTCGCGAGGACTGGATGTGCTCTAATGAATTATTGATATTCAATCATTTCGGGAATGCAGCGATGACTGACATTGATGGCTGTTCAGTTGCGATCAATTGAGGAACTTTGTTGCTGGTGAGAATTTCACTTAAGTAAAATGAAAAAATTATATAAACGACCAAATTTCAGTTAATGAAAATATAACGATCGTCATATACAATATGTCACAGCTAATTGCCGCTATGAATACTGTATGTTTCTTGGGAAGAATAAATTGTTAATGTATCAAAACGTCCGTCCCCATTTTCAATAAAGAGCTGATATGACAGGGTCCATTTTCTCACGAAGTTATTTTCAGAATGTACTTTTTTCATTGTCGAATAATAATTTCATCACTATACTCTTTCACTACTGCACGGAAAAAAAGATTTGTTAAATGAAATAATTCACTTCATTCAAAGAAATAAAAGTGTCATATATGCACGACAAAATATTTTGTTGATGCAAGTAAAAAGAATTCTTGACTNGGAGTGACACCAACCCTCACGTTTTCCGGGAAACACATACTCAATATCCGGAAAAAATTAACGTTTGGGCAGGAATATCGAGAAACTACGTCATAGGACCTCTATTTATTGATCAAAATTTAACAGGAGAAATGTATTTGAATATGCTGGAAACTACTGTTGACCCTCTCATCACTGAAATCGTCGAAGCGAATCCTAATGAATTCGATAGGGATATTGTATTCCAACAAGATGGAGCACCATTATATTACTCCAGACAAGTAAGAAACTATTTGGATGTTACTTTTCTCAGTCGTTGGATTGGCCGTCGAGGTCCTACAGAATGGCCAGCCCGCTCTCCAAATTCAACATCTTTGGACTTTTTTTATGATGCTTTTTGAAGCAAAAGGTGTACAAAACTGAATCTACATCAATATTGGATATATGGCAGAGAAAAATAAATATTTGTAGAGATATTGGCGTTACTGTGTTCGAAAATGTTCGGCGTGAAATATTGGATAGGCTGTTCATATGTCAAGAAGTTGAAGGCAAACATTTCGAGCATCTTCTGAATTGACCTCAAGCTTATTACCTCATATTATGTATTTAAATGTCAATGTAATCAGGCAATTATTTAAAGTTTCGCTATTTGGTATGAGTTGAAGATATTGACATTATATTCTAGGGTTGTAAAGCAATTGTCAGGAGCTTCAGAAAGATGTGTCACAAAACCCCTCTTTCTAGTTAAATTTTTTCCCAGATGGCGCTAAGTCGCCATCTTGGAAGTTTCATCTGTCAATTTCACTTCAAAATAAAGTATTCATGCATTAATTTCATTATCCCAAATTTCAATTTTTTGAGTTGACCTATTCATAAAATGAAAGTGGCGGGGGACATTAAAGAAATGCACTGTATATTTCACTCAAAGTGTATTTTTTTTAAATATGACGTTGAGTAGGTAAATACCTAGCGGTTCGAAAGATATAATAATCTGATTGACCTGAATCCAAAAGTTTTCAGTACAACGGTTTCCAAATGAACCTTGTTCATGCTTTTGTTGTTTCCGTTCCAAAAATACATCATTTTCAACAGCAAACTTCCAGAGTAAAAATTTCGGGATCTAAATTTGAGAGACAAATCAATCAATCTTCAGGTTATCATCACTTTCAGGAATATGGAAATGAGTAATTTTTATGATGACGGTTTGTTCAGAGACTCAATTTTGTTAACGATAGACTGTTATTGAACACAAAAAAAACTGTGAACCGTAGCGGGACGTCTGGCAGATGTGAAACATCAACTATAATATTTTATGGGCACTGAAATATTCATTAAAATATGTTCCTAATTAAAATATATATGAAAAAATTTCAATGTGGCTTTAATATACCCTAGTAAACTCAAGAATATAGTTATTGCAATATATTACTGAAGATATTAAATGCGCTACTCGCTATCAGCTGATTTTGAAGTACAATTCTGTTAGTCTTCATGAAATTTATTCTTCAAGCAAATGCTGCATTATACTTCATGAGAATGAAATTGAAATTTATAAATGATTAATCAAAAATAATCGATGCTATGAAAAAGTTGTAAATTTTAATATTCCTAGAGAGTAGATTTTACATTTACCGACCCTTGAGACAGACTAAATATACGCGGACTCAAATGTACAGATGGATCCACGTTCAACTATAAAATATGAAAATATAATGGGNTTATTTTCAAATTGATTACTTCCTTCCTTTCTTTGGAAGATTCTCTCATCCATTTTTTTGTATCAGATGGAGTAGTAGAAAGCCAAAAACTTTCTTTCCCAAACATTTATTACTATTGTGCACACTACACTCACCCACGCACACATTCATGAAACCTACATACTTACCTCTTCCTAATATTGCTACTAAATTCAAGCGTTATGAAAAACCATAGATCTCTTAGAATTTTGTTTTCTGGAATACTGAAAAACTTTTTATCTGGTATGGATGATCTGTTTCCAGGTTTAAAACATATTTCAACCATTCTGGTGGAAGTACCTAATGGTAAAATTTAATCCAAAAATAACACAGAATATACAGCAAAATAGACACCCACCGAGACCTACCTTTTATAAAATAAAATGTTTTATAATAAAAAAAATTGTAACAAACAAATCGGTTGTATTGAATACCGAGTTGACAACAATAACAATAAAAATAGCGTCTGTCAAATTGGATCATTATATTTTGGTTCTGTGTTTGGATATTGGAAACCAATACACTTGGCAACACCGCTGTAGACACGATCAATTTTATTGGTCAACAGACACGAGGCCAATTTAAACTTTTGCTTCTCGAATTGTCCTTTTTTCTGTAAATATAAAGAGATCCTGGGACCGATTATTCTTGATGAGTATAATATACCCCTTACTAGATCAGTATATAAGCAAACCAGTATCATTTTCAATAGCATGAAACAAGCCCATTAACTTACTGATGACTTGCGTAATGTTCTTTGTTTGATAAGAAATTGTTTCTTATGAAATCAAGAGGCTGATACTTTTCTATAAGGTTATTTATTGTCACAGGTTAATATAGTATGTGTTCACATCGAGGCTGTAAAGTATACTGCTTTTGCAACGTTGTCAGACTGTTCTCAAAGTATATATTTCTACATACATTACAACTTGATAGTGTAACGTGGACACCAATATGTCTTGGAACAACCATGTCGCTGGAATTGCAAAAACTGCTTTTTAAAAGCTTGAAATACTGATTCGAACCAGAAAACTGTACAAGTCTCAGCAACTTTTGATGCTTTATAAAGCTCAGATCAGACCTTCTTTGGAGTGTTGTTCTCATGTATGGAGCTCTGGCTCCTAAGCATACCTGAAGTGGCTGGATTCCATCCAGAAAAGAGGTATCCCCCTGATTTTATAATGAAAACAGGACATTTGTACAAAAAACTTTGTATGATATTTGTGTTGAAAGTAAGTTTTATTTTGTTCGTGAAATTGCTTAACTCGCTACGCTCGTTTCGCAAACTTTTTCACTCACAAAATAAAACCTTACTTTCAACACTCATACTATAAATAGCTATTTCAGAATCACTGCTATGAACACACTCTATAATAGTGCGGATTCCAAACAATTTATCAAAAATATCGCACACCTCAGCTTTCACCAAAATATTGAATACAAAACCCCAACTTCTTCGCCAAATTACGCAACGCATTCTCTGGAACCTCTGGAAAGAATTTTTCTTTCGTTCTCTGGAACAAATTGTTTTATATGAATGCTGAATTATACGAAAAATACTTTTCTCTGTTCCGTTTGTATTCCAAAGATTCCTATGGAATCGAATTAGATATCGTTCACAGGATTCCTACACAATATAATAAATGAAAAAAGTAAAATTTCACTTACATGGAACATTGTCATCCTCACTGCTAGACATCAGATGATACTGAATAGCCTTATCGGCTATTCAGTATCAAATACGGATAACATCATGAGAAAAAACATTCAATTAAGATTTTTTTTTCGAAATGAGTTGAATTCACTTATGCCATTGATGACAGTACGGTAATAATATTCATTCAATATTTGCTTAAATCGCAGCCGCAGGAATCTTGTTCAAATTGAAAGGGTATATTTTCAGTTTAGATTTAAACAAATGAGTCAATTAATGTTATCTACGTACTGTCATCTTTGACACGAGTGGATTCAACACTTCCCGTCACAAAAAGCGTAATATTAAGCACGAACTGAGTGTTTTTTTTGTATAATGTTATCCGTATTTGGTACTGAGGAGCCGATAAGGCAACTGTTTTACGGCGAAACATCTAATGTCTACCAGTGAGCATGACAGTGTTCCATGTAAGTGAAAGTTTTCATCTTTCATTCATTATATTGTATAGGAATTCTGTGAATGATATCTGATTCGATTCTATACGAATGTTTGGAAATTAAATGGAATAGAGAAATGTGTTTTTCGTATAATTCAGCGGTCATATAAAAGTATTTCTTTCGAAAGTATTATTCTTTCGTGTAATTCGATGTTTATATGAAAATAGCTGTTCCGAAAGGGATTTTTCTTCCAGTTTGTGCCTGAAAGTTATTTCATTGCATGATCTAAATATCTTTATATAGAGGCAATTTTTTGAAATTGATTCTCCCCTTTTTTATTAAGATAGAGAAGTAGAAAGCCAAAACTTCTCCATTCCGATGAAAAATATTTTAATTGATTGATGACTTTAGACCATTGTCTTTCGAGAGAAGCATACTCATAATGTTTCCTCAAAACGTAGAGAGTCAAAAAGTAGCTCCACAACTGTCGAAAACCAACTCCATAGTTCATACCTAACTGTAAAAGTCTAATAAAAGACGCAATAACCATTCTATGTGCCCGTTTACTGCATGCGACCTGTATGACTTCGCGATCCTCATAAATTATATCACCATTTTAACTTCAAACAGATATCGAACGTTGTCAATGAAAAATTCATCTCAAAATATTGCCTGACGACTTGGTAGCTCGCATTAAGTTCATGCACTTTTTATAAAATATCGAACTGAGGAATGAAGAGTGTCAAATGAGGCAAAACTCTTTTGAACTGAACTGAAATACATATATATTCTAAGCAAAGTC